TAAGTCTTTCGGCTGCCTGGTCCAGGTGTTCCTTTGTTGTGGGCTGATGGATCCTGCTGGTGCTTTCCAATGTTCTCTGGAAAGCCTGCCAGTTGGCGACCGTGGAATTTGTCACCCGTCTGCGGGTGCCCTAAATAACGTCAATGATTTCACATCCACACAATGGTGTGGAAACAAGTTGGTGTCGCCATCTATTGCTCTTGTCTGAGTGTCCAAGCAGACTTACTAGAAGACACCAAACTAGGAAATAAGAATAATAATGTGTCTTAAGATACTTGTGTGTTGATGCTCTTACGACGCGGCACTGATTAGCTTCATTCGCCGTAACGATTCAGAACTGGTTCGGAACTGATCGCATTAACATTCGCGGTAAAAAAATTACTCGTTCTGAACCGAAAGTTCTATGTTCGCGGTATAGTAAGAACTGGTTCAGAACCCGTTCGTTATCGGTTCTAGCAGTTCTAAGATTAAAGGAAGGACCAGTGGTTCTGACAAGCGCAGAACAAACAAAACATAAGGTTCGCATCGGGATCGGGACTTCCACTTTTCGCCACAGATTATAAGATATCACATCAAATCCGTTTTTCGAACTTTTAAAAGACTATTTCTATACTTTTATTTTTCTATTTTCAACTATGGCTCCATTGGTTAAGCATTACTTCGATCGATTGATTTTCACGATTTGATAATCAAGAAAACCAATTTTTAATTATATAGTAATTTATAAATCACTATTAAGTTTAAGAATTATTAGGTTTTTTATCTTTGTATCGCATTTAATTAACTAATTTTGATCAGAACGCCAATGTAAAAATAAACTTAGAATTGCCTACACATGCAAGCAATTTTTCGCCTCAGGGTGAATGGAAACAAAGCCATAAATTTGAATTAAGAAACGGGATGCAGAGAAAAGGTCGTCGGTGGTACCAATTGTATCCACCAGCCGTAAATGTACAAAAAATGCAAATTAAATACAGCAGATGTAGGATCTTGCGTTTGTACAGTGGCTTTGTAAAAATTAATTAATTAAATGCCATAGAAACCTCAAAAATTATTTTTTATGCAAAATAATTAAAAACTGTCACTTTTCGCAGATAAACCATGATCATAAAAAAACAGCAATTCGGTCTTTCCACTTTCACTTCATTGAATTTCAGTTTAGGGAAATTACTGTTACGCCCAAAGTAACTAAAATCCTGTTGTATAGTCCAGTCAAATTATCTTAACATCCTAAAACTTGTCTCATCACCTACTTATGATGGTGGGGACGCGACTGTAGATAACTAAGATCAAAAGTGAAAAACAATCCTTTTTGCGCATTTTTTGCAAATATTTCGTTTCCTGTAAGTTTTACGGTATTTCAATTTATTTTGAATATTGTAGTGGATTAAATTCTCTACAACCTTTGTTTTAAAAAATTTTTTATACGTTAAACCGTTTTAGAGATAGAAGGCGGAGAGCGCGCAGTGTCTAACTATGTACAGGGTTATTGATTGCACTTTGGCCACCCCGTTTTAACATTTAATTTGAAAATTAGATGTTTGCTAACTTGTGGGATCACAATAGCAATAAATTCTGAAAATTTTTGCGAATAATTTTTTTGGCTGTTATTTTTTAGTGTCCTTAAAATCATTTGTACTTTAAGTATAAAATATTATTTGTTGTAAAGTTATATATTTAAAAAATATGAATTACTATTGTTTTAAAATTGTTTCTGCAAGTGACGCACAATTGCCCATCACCTTATGACGCTTCTATATCACGGCAACCACAGTGAAGTCACATTCACAGGTTAAATTCACGGTTATAACAGTTATTTTAAAATAACGGATTAGCTCGTCTCTAGAAAACGCCAAACCGGTCCTGGAGGTAGGTGCCTGAGGTTGGTGCATTTCGAAATCTGCACTTGCCTATTTCGCAAGCTCATGACTGCTCTGCTGATGCCAGTGATGCCCAAAGCTTCATTGATTAGAAGGCCTGTTTCGGGTTTTAAAATTTAGACTTAAAAAAGAGTTTAAAATTTAAACTCTGATCTGACTGGACTCAGCCAGTGCATTCGAATTTGATGGATGTTCAAGTATTGCCGAGGACAAAAAAAATTCAAATTCGGGGCCATTGTAGAAAGATTTTTTCGCGTCCAAACCAGTCTCGTGCCCGAAGGGCTCGGCACAACTTGTACGTCCATTAAACTCGAATGTATTTGTTGGGCCGGGCCCTACGGATACGATACTGATTGAGGACAGTCGAATTCCGCTTACATTCGCACGTGAACATTATTTCATTGTTAAGTCTTGTTGGATTTTGGTGTCTTGCCTGTCAATTTTCCGGTCTTTCTTGCAAATAGTCGGGTTGCCGAAAAGTGGCAAATAAATCAAGGAACAACAATCAATCCACTTCCGATTTTTGTGTCGGGAACGTTTATACCGAGGAGGATCACCCAGGTCAGTCAACAGCTGTGCAAACAACAAAAGGGAACGACAAGGAGCCCTCGCCATTGGGTTGTCGACCACCCCTAATGAAGATGGATGTCTTTGGGTGGGGGGCCAGATTTGTCATTAAGAGCTGTCCGGACGAATTATGGACCGCATGATCGATCGCCGCCAGATCGAGTGGATGGTTTGGTGAAGGGTTGAAGGGTTGAAGTTCCCCCATTGGATTATCATCAAGCGCCGGTGAAGTTCCCAGGCCATAATTTAACCACTTGGAATTGTTCGGGCTTGCGTTGCCCGATGAGCAACCGATTCGCTGTCATGTCACATGTTCGTTTGCCGGGGAAAACGACGTGGTGTGCATTCGAATTAGCGGCGATAATTATATGGTAATTATCGAGTTCTATACGGGAAAGAGTGTTAAAATAGTGATATTATTGCCACTTAACAGCTCGCAGCTAAAACGTTCGGGTTTAAAGCTGATTTACATGGTAATGTCAAAACGACGAGGTGCGACCGAGTGGAGATCACGCGACGGTCTATTCTCTTCAACTTTTCTCAATTAATGTCCCAATCGGCTTGAGTAGAATATGGACGACAGGAGTTTTTAAGAAGCCGACAATCCATCTTCGTAATAGCGGAGAGCACGTCGCAACGAGCCCGTCAACCGCCGATCCGTAACGCTATTTCCAGCTCGATTCGATTGACATTATACGTTTTATTTTCGGAAATAGATGCGACCGTGCTTCATCCTGTCAAGGATGCACTTTCCGAACGCTCAAACGATCCAAGAGGTATTTAACGCGCCTATTTATACAGAACGCTATTTTTTCCGCGACGGGGGCTAAATCGGGCTGGAGCGGCGGCCACCATCAGGCTGAATCTCCCCAAAGCGCCCGAATCATTGTGAACTCTTCAAGTCTGCGCTTGGCGTGCCACCTTATGGTGGTAATTGGCCGAATCTTTGTTGAGCAAAGTGCTGTCACAAGAGATAAGAAGCTCGCTTTGTTAGTTAAATGAGTCGCTTACACAACATTAAAGGTGCGAACGCCAGTCGAGTGCTTGTCAGTGATTATCGCTGTTTCAACAGCTTTCTGGCTGAGCGTCGCAACCAAATATTGATGGAAATAATCGAATTGTTGCTGTAATCGAACCAGTACTTTTGTCTCGAACTTGGTACCTTCGGGCACGACACTGATTGACAACAGAAAATTAATAATTGGCAACTTTCGAAGGTTTCTTTGGTGTTTATGTCATCTACTTACGCACTATTTTATCAGTTGTTCAAAATGTTGTCCATTTTCCTGTAAACAATAATAAAGTCTGTTTTGGAACTCTTCACGGAACTCTTCAAGGAAAACTTCACCGGGAATTGACCGGCATTCTGCTGCAATTCGTCTTTTAAGATAGTAAATATCAATAGGTTGCGTTTTATAAACAATGGACTTAAGATGTCCCGAAAGAAAGAAGTCTAGGAGTGATCAATCCGGTGATCTTGGAGGCCATTCAATTGGTCCCCTTCTCCCAATTGATCTATCCAGGAATATCTTATCAATGTCAGGGAGGGTTCGAACATAGACTTTATTATTGTTTACAGGAAAATAGTGCGTAAGTAGATCCCATCGGTTTTATTGTATAAATTTCTCTTCCGTAAATAAAAACTGATTTTTCGCGACATCTACCCGTCCTAGAGGGTTGAAACGAGGAGGCTAAAAATACTCATTTAAAGTGTCATCTTTACTTTCCGATTTTTTATATTTTCAACTGCAAGAAAGATATTAAGGGTGGGCAGTTTTCAAATTGACATCCGGTATATTAATCGTAACTTCTCCAAATACCTACGAAAGGTGTCTAGTCAAGCACAAACAAAATGTACAATTGGCAAATGCGCTAAATTTTCCAACCGGTGTCACCGTGACAGAGATTTTACAGACAACGGGGACATCATGGCATCCTTTCTCATATCATGGAAGTGTAGTGCATTGCAAAGAGGAAAACGTGGACAAAACCCGCATTTTTGCAAAAAAAAAACCACTAAGAAAAGTTGTTAATAAACATATTATCCACTGCATGAGGACTGTAAATCTCCCTGTAAATTACAGAAAAAAATTGTAAAAATGGTCATCAGTAATGAAAAAACCGGCTATTGAGTAAAGCCAGTTTTACTCCGGTAGCCGGTTAGTGATGAAAATTTTAACATTTTTTTTCGGTACAGTCTAGTCCAACCCGTCCTGGACTAGACTGTCATAAAAACCCCCATTCGCCTCAAAAATGGCAAATGACAATGGAAACATCCCCATGTAGTCGTAGTCGCCCCCCATCGAAAGGATCGACAGGACAAGAAAAAAAAGCCCCAAGGGAGCGTCCCCTTGACATGTCCCATCCCATCTGTCAAAACAGACATGAGCTGTCATCGACTATCAAAACAAAGCACATCGCCGCAACACCTTGGTGGAGATCAAGTCGGCCGCGATGGGTGTCAAAACTAACAACAAGACACTCAATGGCGATGGTGGGGAGAGAAAAAGCCAGGTTATGACGTCATGTCGAGGTGCCGTCCTGTTTTCCGTCGGATGAATCGCGCCGCCGTCAGTTATTTCTGTTCGTCAGAAGCGTTTGTGTGTGGCTGCGAGAGAATCCGACGTTTCGATCAGTCGCATCCGCAGTGTTTACCGAGAGTGTTTTGTTTCGGGTGATTGGAACATAGTAGGTCTGATGGCCCGTAAGTGGATTACTGTTTAGGCGGAAGCGAATTTTTTTTCGCGCCAGTGTTCCAAACATGATGACACCGAGCAGCCAGTATTTGAGGCCGGAGTATTTGACCCCTTTGCCCACCACTGTGAGTCTTGGTTTTCATTTTTTTTTTATACAAAGTTCGATGAAATTTTGTAATGCTTTAAGTTCAGGAGAATGTAGAAGCCGGAATTGGGTATTGAATTTTTTTTCACGGCAAAAACTCGAAATTTCTGGAAAAGTCCAGAAGACGCATTTTTGGTTGGTGCCTAAAACAAAACTGCTGTTGCATTTAAATTATTAAAAATTAAAAAAAACGTACTATTTAAGCTCCTTATTGTACAGTATATGTAATCTACATGTTTTCCTGTAACTATTCCAGTAATCCAGTAAAATATTCATTCATTCATTTCCGTTTTTCGCAATGAAAGCAAACTAGCCCTTCAATGATCAAGCGGACACAAATCTGCTAAAGTTTATGCATAGCCAGTTAAGACACGGTTGCAAATATGCCGTCTACTATTCACTGTCTCAACTGACTTTGCATAGACTATACTTCTGCTTGACGCCTTCCGACGCTTTACATCAGTTAGCGATAAAGTGGTTTTTGGAAAAAAGATAACAAATTCAAAAGCCATTTTGTCGCCAGCTGATGTTAAGCATCAAGTAAAAGTAAAGTCTGTGCAAAGTCAATTGAGACAGCCAGTGAATATTAAGGTGCATCCAGATCTGAACCGAGCCAGATCCGCGGCAAATTCTTTTGATGTTTCGTCTGTCGGTGTTTTGACGAAACATCAAAGGAATTTGCCGCGGATCAGGCTCGGCTCAGCTCTGGACGCACTTTAATATTCATTGGCTGTCTCAATTGACTTTGCATAAACTATATGTTAACTTAACGCCTCCCGTTCCGTTCTTTACCCTTTTTATAATGCGACCAGAGGCGTTGTAGCTTCACTAAAGCTCATAAAGAGTCCAGACTGACTTTCCACTAAGAGTTTAGTGGTGATTTGGGCAAACTGGAGGCGCGCTACTGATCCAGTTGACTCACCAAAACGGCTCATATTTTATTAATACCGAGAGCTTTTCATTATCGACCTAAACCGGCTAGATAATGTGCTGCCGACATGTTTCCTTTGTTTAAAATTACCTCGCGACGTTGATTAATGGCGTCCGTTAACGACCTAACCTATAATTTATCATTTACCAAACTAAAAGCCAATTGAAAAGAATTATTATTTTATATGTACCGCTTTCTCGGAACGGACGTACAATTTATTATTGATGGCTCATCGGCTGATAAATGATATTGGGAATCAATGGCTGCCAACCGAATGGCTGCTTGTTCTACCTATGGCAGGGCCGTCAGACGTGCCAGATTTAAGTCCACGGACTATTAGAGGCTTTGTCGCAACTTTCCCCAGATCCCACTTTGCGCAACAGCGCCCATTAAAATAAATAACCGAAAGAAATGCACGCCAAGTTTGCATGATTTACGTGCGGGCAGGATTAGGCGAAATCTGACAAAGATTTATTACACGTGTAATGGTGTTAATTAACGGAAAAAAGCGCGGCGTTTTGCGGCATGTGAATAATCACCGCTCGCCAATGTTACAAACCATCATTTTTCTTAGTCGGGCGCTTCAAGATAACAAATTAGTTTGTTGATTACTGTCTAGCAAACGCAATTAGCTTAAATTATTTGCTCATTTGCATGCTCGAGATTACCTTCCCTATTTGTTCACGGCTAATGGACTTCATCATCCACTCTCTGTGTACAATGTTACCCGGCTTTCATCAATAATTCCCTTCTGGCATTTATGGGTAATAATTGAAGGGATTAGAAGCAAAACCGCTTAAGAGCAATATTTTGCAAAACTATCCCAGCGAAAGCGAACCCGAAAAAGACCAATATAATAAAGAATAGGCTTTCTAGTGAAGAACATGAAAGCAAAGGGAAAAATAAACTGCAAACAAATTTTCTGCCTCAGCCATAAAAAAGAACCCAAAAATAAAGTGGGCTAGAGCTAGATTTTGTATCCAAAAACGTTATAAAGAAAGAAAATAATATCAGCTTTGGATGACGACCTTCTATTTTTTCAGTCAGAAAGTATTGGGCGTCCAGTAAATCATTTAAATTTGGAGCCAGCAGAACCACTAAAAATTAAACACTAAAAACTAAAACCCGCTAGATTTCATCCTCCCAATATACCATCAATTATATAAAAACCTGCTCATGAGTCAAATCCGTAAAAATAGGAAAAAAGATCGGTACGTCAGCTGGCAGCGCAAATTGGCATACATTAATTACGGGAATTTCTGGTCAGATTACAAGTAAATCATATAAGGATAGTGCGAATTTCGAGGTTCGCTCACCTCAGGCACCCCCAGGCCCGGTTTCGAGTCTATGAGCTCGCATCAGCTGGGTTCAGCCTGAAATTAGCGAAACATGCACTTGAATCATCTGTTTTTTCGTCAATTTCGGGCTGAATCCATGTGATGACGGCTCATAGACTCGAAACCGGGCCTAGGGGTGCCTGAGGTGAGCGAACCTCGAAATTCGCACTGTCCTTATATGATTTCTTGTTCGGATAATACCGACGAAATTCTTGTCTTTACTAACTAGTACATTTAGCTTAGTTGTTTTAGTATTTTTGGATAATTTGTTCCAATTCAGAGGCGAGACAACCCAAGTGCTTTTTTGTTTAAATTTGTTTTTTATTTCCTGAAGCTTAGTTAAGTTTTTGCCCTTAATTTGAATCGTTCTATTCTATGACATCAACTTCAACTAAAAATATGTGTTAATATTTATATTGCATGACAAAAATAGTAGGTAAATATTTAACGTAAATGCACCACGATAAAACGAGATTTTTCCTGTTTAATTTTTTTCATGTTTGATTTTTGTTGTTTCTTTTTATCGTCTTATATATCGCAAATAACTATTTTTGAGGTTATTATTTGCTATTACTACAATGCAGCTGAGAAACAAACAAAATACAAATTTGTTACATATTATTTATACACTCAGACAGTTCAACGACAAGCCGGATTCCCGTATTGCCTTTCGATCGAACAGACTAGCGCTATGACGTCACGACCATTCCCGGGCGTTTAGTGTCGTTTCAAATAAATAGCCTGCGGTCACAACTTTAATTGTTTATTGCAAATTAAATATTGCGATTTCAGGGCTGGTATTTGGTATGCGCGATTTCTATAGATAGGCAAATGTATTAAAGAAACAAAAAAGGTCAAGGTCCCAATTGCATTTGAATTGTTTTTGGTTCGTGACTGCATAACTAAAGGCACATTTTTCTTCCAGTTGGACGCCAAGAAAAGCCCGCTGGCACTTCTGGCCCAGACATGTTCGCAGATCGGAGCAGATGCGCCCAACCCGAAGCTACTTCAGGGCTCCGATAAGCCAGCGAAAAAACCCGACCAGACGCCGAAAGAGAAGTCGCGATCCACCCCCTCTTCTGAGTCAAAGTCGACTCCCTACAAGCAGCAGGTAGAAAGCCCGCGGGAGAAAACCGCCACTCCCGAGGAGCGTTCGTGCAGCGTAGGAGGGAACCGAGTGAGGACGCCCAGCAGTCGGGGCGCGCAGGTAAACGGGCGCTGCGCCAGCAACCAGAGCGCCACATCGGCTCGCGAAAGCCCCGCGGGCGACGACAGCCGCGCCTCAAGAAGCCCGGAAAAAGCCTCAGAAGGGAGCAACAGTCCGAAGACTCCGTCCGGCAGCAAGACCGCCTTCACCCCCAATATCCTCACCAGTTCCTCGGACCCGGCCATCAAAGACCTGCCGCTGGGGACATTCAAACCAGGCGTCACTCCGGTGAGTTCGGCCTTTCTGAGCACTCAGAGCTACCCGGGTTTTCCGCACATGGACCTGATGACGTCGAGCTTCTTATCGAGAGCCAGCGCTCTGAACCCGTACTTCTCCTACGGTCGGCTGAAGGCTCAGGACACTTTGTCGGCCTGTCGCGATCCGTACTGCACGGGCTGCAGCGTAACCTCGCATCTGTTCGGAGGTGCCGTGCAAAAGCCGCCCTGTCCGGCCGGTTGTACTCAGTGCGAACATTCCAAGGTGCCCACGACAGCCGCCTACAATCCGGCAGCAGCTGCTGCATATGCGCAGGCGCAGTTTGCTGCCATGGCTGCAGCCACTCAGCTGCCTTTTATCTGCAATTGGATATCGGGGGACGCTTCCTACTGTGGCAAGCGCTTCTCCAACTCAGAAGACCTGCTCACGCATCTACGAACGCACACGAGCGTCACTTCGGAGGCTTCGCTCCTTGCGGCCCCTGGACACCCGATGATGCATCGGACTTATCCCACTCCGCCCCTGTCGCCATTGGCTACTGCCAGGTACCACCCCTACAGTAAACCATCCCTTCTTCCTCCATCTCTGAGCGCTTTTCCTCTCGGGCATCCCGCCCTGCCTCCCTACCTCAATCCCTACTCCCTCTATGGGCCCAGGCTGGGCTCCACGCCAGGGATGCATCCGTAAAAAGTCATTGCGTCTACTACTTTTTGCTTACGGTCATTTTAAAAGTCTGCGAGTGTATGAGGGCGGTTCGCAGATATTTTTTTCTTAACCGTCCACACCAGTAACCTCAGAGAAAGACGTGAGGCAAACTCTATCCGCCAGTTCTCAAGTAGCAGCTCCAACCGAAATGCCAGCTATATCTCACCCAATAACATCTGCGCCGTTTCGGTTCAAATACAACTTCTAATACTATATACTGTATCCGGAGTCTAAGGCAGGACCTACTAGATCTACCGATTTGTCAAGGAACCTACCGATACCATGCCGATTTCTACCGAAAAGTAACAAACAAAAACTGAAAACATTTCCGTGGATTACTTAAAATAATATAACATTTAATAAATGATAGTGAATTACAGGTCTGGACACAGAATGACGTCTGTTGCGAAATGTTGAAGAAAAGAAAAGAGTTTTGGAGCCAAGTACAAATATTGAAATATGGAGGTGATACATTCATGTTTCCAATTTTAACCAATTTTTTTTGTAACCTGCTTATTCTACCTGACTCATCAGCCAAGTTGAACGGATATTTTCACAGGTTAATCTAATAAAAACTAAGTTGAGAAATAAGCTAAAAACGAGTACAATTTTATCTTTACATTTTTACTGACTCAAAATTTTGAAAAAACGCGCGATTTTATGGAGCCTTTAATGATGAAAGAAAAATGAGTCTACCGATTTTCTACCGAAAAGTGTCGAGCTTATCTACCGAAACTCGATTTTCGGACCTGGCAACCCTGGGCAGGACATACCTATCCAATAGATATACCCGGGACGAAACGCATGGTGCTTCAACGCGGGCCATAGTCGTTTACTTTTTTTTAGTTAATTGTTTCTGGTTATTGTTTGTTTGTGTTTAAGAAGCAATCTTATAGGAGAAAGAAATTTTATGCTATTTATTTTTCTGATTTTTCACAGGCATGTATATAATTAAAGTGAAAGTCATAGACAACATTTAAATATATCTGTTCATTATTTTAGAAAGCAGAAAACAATAAAAAAACAAACAAGATCAATGACTATTAAAACTCCAAGAATCCAAATCTTTCCTGCGGGAACTAATTGTATAAATCACTAACGATCATCACTAGCATGAATTTGAGCAACAGCTACTGAACTAAAAACGTGCTAGAATCCACAAGAATCTGTGTTTTTCTGAGGTTATAATTTCGTTCGCAATGGAAATATCAAACCGGCAACGCGGCAGTGGGACGCGCAAGCGCAATCAGCCAGGACTGGTGCGGACGGTTAAGAAAAAAATATCTGCGGGCGGTTCACTCCAGTGGACACTATGTTCTTCTGAGTTCATATCACGTGAAGTGTTACACATTCGGTCGGTAAAGCGTCACTTTCCGCACTAGGTTGATAATAGGCGTTTTCGATTCAAGGGCGAACGTCCGTTAGGATTTCAGTTTGAAAACTGATTTTCGTTCCCGTATCGAACAATAGTTTTTATTCGAATGAAAGGTATAACACGAACAATAAGTTATAATAAATAAAAATAGCCCAAAAAAAATTCTTTTAAATTTTTTATGACAGTGACAAGTTCAATTTGCCACATTGAGCTTTGCTCACACTGAATGAATACTAAAGAAAAGTGAGTCTTTATGATCATCGCTTTTCAACGAAAAATGACGCAGTTTCTGATTCAATCTAATAAGAACAACTATTTGAAAGGCAGATTGAACAGAGTTTGGGGGTTAGTTTCAATAGTGGCTTTTGAAACAGATTTTCCTCTCTAACTTCCTGGAAGCTTCAGCAAACGAAATCTCCTTGATTACTTTTTTTACCCGGACTGACTCAACAATCACACAAAATTTTCCCAATTGAAAAAATACTTGCGAATGATCTTAATATATACTTAATCTGAAACTAAAACCGTTGCACGTCATCAACACCCCAAATTAGTAATTTTCAAACCACCCGAGCAAAAATATATTACTAATACAATTAGAACGTAGTATTATATATCGTTATACGTCACGATCACGTTCACTTTATTTATAGAAAACTACATTAAAGAGAGATAGACATAATCGCCGATATGTTCCGCCAATAAACGAATCTTTACTGTTTGATTCGGTTTGAAGGAATTTTTAACCTTATAAGTTGGTAGCGAATTACTGTGTTGTCAGGTTGACGTTTGATTTATCGATTAGTTTTTAGTTTAGTTAGTTTTTATTTTTGCCTATAAATTTTTGCTAATGTTTCCCATATCTCAATCGTAGTTGTTAGCTTTGAGTCTTTTAAAGTCTTCAAAAGTGATCAAAGTATTCAAAGTTATTTTAGTATTAGCGATTATTATTCATCTAAAACCAATTCAATAATCTTTTATCAAAAACAAAAGATTTTCATGACAACTTGGCAATTGGATCAGTTTGACGGTAGATGACGTGAACGGTTTTGGTTTTAGATTACGTTTAGTTCAGCTTCAGCTGCAATAACCGATCAACTAGATTCATTGTGAACGTGCCCCATACAGGCCAGCAGTAATGTTTGTACATATAAAATATTGCGTGAATAAATGTACATTTTTTTAAGTCTATTAGGTTGTACCGAGACTATTTGTACAGATCTCATTCTGGATGTGAAAAGTGCGTTATATTTTCCTTGTTAAATGTACGTAGTTAGTAAGGGCCATTTAAAGTTTTTTCTTTCGGGCGCTTCAACAATTGTTATTACGGGTCGTTGTGTGGATTTTTCGGATTTTGTTTTCAACAATTTGTGATACTTATTTAAATGGCCAAATAATAATATTAATAATAATAATAATAAAACTGTTTTCGTTTTCTTTGCGTTGTAACAAAGGTCTGTCCTACCATATCATCAATGTATACCTTATAACAATATTAAAGTGAAAGAAATATATTTTTATTGTTACAAGCAGTTTTTTTGTGTTATTTCCTATCTACTTTGAACCATTGAAATTATGAAATATGATGATTGTTAAACACTTACCCAAAGCAAAGTATACCTGCAACAAAAAAAAAGGTTTTAACAAACTGTTTGTTGGGTATTTTGCCTAAAAAAATGTTTGTCTTTAAAAAAGACAGCATTTCCTCACGTCTTTTATTACAGATTAATAAACAGTGCTCTGTTTAAAAAAAGAGTTTATTACAAGAGAAGGCTACATAAGTGGCAAAATCGTACTAAGTCTCATAGAGCTAAATCTGGTCAGCTGGCGGGACTTTTTTCAAAATTCGCATGGTATACTTAATCTGAAACTAAAACCGTTGCACGTCATCAACACCCCAAACTAGTAATTTTGATACCACACGAACACAGTATATTACTAATATAATTATAACGTAGTATTATATATCGTTATACATCACGATCACGTTCACTTGATTTATAGCAAAGTAGATTAAAGAGAGATAGACATAATCGCCGATATGTTCCGTCAATAAACGAATCTTTCTTCTTCTTCCTTAATGGCACTGCTGCTGGGCAATTGCAAAACAAATCGTTACTGTTTGATTCGATTTGAAGGAATTTTTAACCTTATAAGTTGGTAGCGAATTACTGTGTTGTCAGGTTGACGTTGGATTTATCGATTAGTTTTTATTTTTGCCTATAAATTTTTGTTTATTTTCCCCATATCTCAATTGTATTTGTTAGGTTTGGGTCTTTTAGTCTTCAAAAGTGATCTAGACCTGTTTTTTTTGTACTGTTATTTTACTATTAGCGATTATTATTGATCTAAAACCAATTCAAGATTCAAAATTGGCGTCATTCCTCTGGAGGTGTTGTCTGGCCTCTGTTGTTATAGGAGTACAGAAAAAATAGTAAAAGAAATTAATTGTTATGAAAAACTGAGAAATTTGCAAAAAACTATATCACAAATACGGCAGCCATGTTTTTCAAGGTAATCTGCCTAATTAACATTGCGCAAATACCTGTTGCTTCGTAATTATTTAAAACTCCGGTAACCATGGAATTTTACAGAGTGACAATAAGATAACAGTAAAAAAGGATAAACAGTAAATTCAACAAGATTTGTTGACTACGGAACGTCCTTTCGAAATGTCAACCTGTTATCATAACCTCGAATATTGGTGTTTATAAATCAACCATACAACACCAAACATTTGAATGGTTAACTCCAAACAAGCTAGTGCCTGTGTAATCTCCTTATCATCCACTCTTATTAAGCAGCTTTTCGAACTCAGTTAATTAACTCCTGCTCCATTTGTATCTCCTTGTGCTGTGTGTATCGTACAAACGTGGTAGGAATGTTGCCCTTCCTCGGTATTTATTTGATGCTTGGGAAAGTGTCAGTTATTGTGCTCTGAGTGCCCCTGGAAGGCGCTGATTCGATTATGTTATTATGTATTATTATTATGATATTTGTTCCTCTGTGCCTGCAACCCGAACATCTATTGCCGTTCACTATCTTCCTGGAACCACTCTCCTCGCCCTTTGTTGGCTTGCGTTCTTTCAGGTTCTGCTAAGTTACTGTAGCATTTCCCCTGAACTAATCGCATATCAGCAAATTCGTGAAAGGAAATTCAAAGTAAGTCACAGTTTGACAAATTATTGTTATTATTGACAAGGGCTATCCACTTGAAACTATCTGTTAATGACAAAAAACATCATTGCCGCTGTGCCTTTTCATCAAAAAATTGTAGAAGGGAACTTTTTTAATATCAAAAATTTTCGTACTTTCAACTGTTAATATCTTCTAGAAATTTTTGAAAAAAAAAATTTCAATATTTTTCTCGTACGCCCCAAGGGAGCCTCTATCACCCCTTAAAAGGAATGACGCCAATTTTGAATCACCCTGTATGTTTATTAGCGTTTAACGAAACAATGTCGATATTTTGGCTCCAGATCTAGTTTTTTTGTTGGTTCTCGTCAGCTAGGTTTAGCTTGCAGATGTCATATAAAAAAGGTCACTGAATCAATCCTACCAACATTTTACGACCAGACTGTCATTTTGAGCAGTTATTGGCATTTGACTGAAAATTTTGGGTTTTTCAAGGTTTTGGATGTAAAATTTTTGGAGGTTAGGAAGTTTCAATGAAATCCTACAAGGAAAACTTAGCTTTTGATACGCGGATCAAAATGCTCCAAACTGCAGATGAAATATTTTCAGTCAATTTCAAGATTTGGCTCAAAATGTGTGCTTTTGGCTTTTAACTTTTGGAGGTTAAAAATGTTGCTTTATCTAGGAAAAACAAAAGAAATCTGATGATCTTATGCCTGTCGAGTTATCGAAGCTAGTTTTTGAAACTTGACCCAAATTGGGGGTTTCTCAATGTTTTGCTACTTCACTTTTAGAGGTCAGGCGTTTTGAGTCAAATCGAAAAAGAAAAATTTTGCTCTTGATTGATGCTTTATCAAAATACTCCCACTACTGGTTAGATATTTGCAGTCAATTTCGGGGTTTGGTTAAAAAGTGTAGAGTGTAGTTCTCATAACCGAACATTCGGAAAAAAATTCCGAATAATTGGACGATTGGAGTCGGAAAAAGTTCTCATTTGCGATTATTTGTTGCTGAAAAAAAGCAATAATTTTGACTCATCGTGTTGATAACAATGACAGCGATTTTAACCTAAAAGCCCACTTTTTCGTTCTCTCGCTCGACATTCGCTGTTTTATTTTCTGAGCAACCGGCAGCTTGAGGTTAGCCTGAGAAGACCAAGGACGTAATTTGCAAAGCATAGGCTGAGCTTGAAAAAATTGAATAAAATCTAAAAGTGTACAAACCGTAAAGTGCATGCTAATCTTTCTCCTGCAGCGAAAGAATCTCGATTTTTGCAGTTTTTAGTAATACGAGGTCCAAATTTTGATAATAAAATATCGAATAATTCTTTCGACATTCTCATGTAATTGAAAAGTTTTTCTCAATCTTGAAGATACAAGATTATAATACGCTCCTTGTTCCGGTCTTCGTTGGAAAGTCTCTCTAATCCATATCCGTCGTTTTTTATTGTTTTCTTTGTTTTCACACAACTGTTTTAATTTCATATAAATGACCACACACACTAATACTCTCAATCGATATGGTAAATAGTAATTATAATATTCTGTATCCATTCTTGAAAACTGAACATTGAGTAAAAAGACAAAAGATTGAATTTACCTAACCTATAAAATCCCTCCGAATAATCGGAAAAAGTTGGAATCATTGCAACGTTTTCCGACACCTGTCAAATGGTCCGATTATTCGGAATTTTTTTCCGAAAATTCGCTTATGAGAACCAGGTTTAAGACGTAAATAAACAAACCAATAAATGTTAAAAGGCCAAAGAAACGGTCATGGAAGTCGCAGTTAGAAAGTTGGATCTATAGAGAATCAACATAAATCTTGTCCAATCCATTGAGGGATGTTTAATAGCTTCCACCAGCAGTGTGATCTTCCACGAAAATAGGACACGGTCTAACTTTCGAAAGAGGTTTCTAGGTACGTAGAAAGTTGCGGTCGGAGTTTAACCATTCGGTAAACTCTCTTAAAATGATTCGCGGTTTTGAAATTTGGCTCAACTTGAGAGTTGTTCCAAAGTTTTGCTTCAAAATTTTTAAAGGTTTGAAGTTGCCAGCGCATCCAAATAAGGAAAATTTAGCTCTTGGTACGTTTTATAAAAATTCTCCAGGCTGCTGTTGAGAGACTCAATCAATTTCGAATTTACCATATTTTGTTCCCATCTTTTGGAAGTTACAAATTTGGCTTTATTATACCATTTTTGAAACTTGGGAGATTTGAGTGAAATCCTATTAGGACCACGTAGCTCTTAATATCTTTGATCATTTTTAATCAATTTCGAGTTTTGCCTCAAAGTGTGCTTCGCCCATATTTTGTTCTCAACTTTAAGAGGCAATTTTTCGAATCAAGGCGTAAAAAGCTGTTGGCTGTGAGCTTAATTGGGACGCCACTGATCGCGCCGAGTGACACAGAGGCAAATTTAAAGCGGCGGGGTTTTAAATTTCCCAAGAACACATTAATAGGCATTTAGTTGACAACGGCTCTGACATATTTATGACGCTAGCGCTTACATATATGAATGTTTACCATACATTAAAGTAATTTATTTCTGTTCGCTGGCATTTCTATTAGTCCATAACTACTTAAGCTACTGGCAGCTCTCTGATACCCGCTTATACACGGTGGCTTCGGTTCGGTGGGATTTTCCTTAATGACAAAAGCCGGCATACAGTCCAGACTTCAGTCTCTTGAAACTTTTGGAAATCATTTGGCTCTGCAACCGTTTCCATTTGGTCTGATTCCCGAAACGTCTCATGATACTGTGGGTTTTCTAGGGGGATTAAATCATCAAATGCGCCGCCTCTGCACGCCATATAAACCTTCTATTGATACTAAAAATGTTTACTTGATGTTGACAGGCATTCCGTCGTAAAAGCAACGTTTTTATTTGGGCTCTAAATAAGAAAACCCGTCGTGCGATAAAAATAATTGGATTCAACGGGAAAAAACTGAAAGCCACTATTCGACAAATACGTCATAAAGTATCCTGAAAGCGATCTTTGAATAGTAGTTATTCTTTCAGCTCTGGATCGGTCTCATTAATTGAGTGAACAAGCAGGTGCAACAGCATTCAGTCTCAATTGTAAAGCTTTTTTCAGCTGCTTGATTTTATTCCATTGTTAATGTTCGACTTCAACTAAAGCACCTTGCCGCATCCTGGATTCCAGGCTTCCAGCCTCCAAAATCTTCATTGTTCCTCTATCGCAAATAATTTCCTCTAACGTGACCCTGACTCTTTGTCTTTGCCCGTAAAATTTACTGCCCGAAACGTAATTTTATTGACTTTTTTCGATTTTCAGATGTCGAAATGCATAGTATGTGTTGTCAATTTTGCTCCGGTTGCGCGATGAGTACTGTGTCATCCGCATAGCGCATGGTTTTTAATTTTAAAATTCTG